CCTCGGCCTCCCAAAGTGCTGGGATTACAGGCTTGAGCCACCGTGCCCGGCCAATTTATATATATATATTTTTTAACAGAGACAGAATTTTGCCATGTTAGCTACACTGGTCTCAAACTCCTGATCTCAGGTGACCCGCCAGCCTTGGCCTCCCAGAGTGCTGGGATAAAAGCATGAGCCATTGCACCCTGCCCATGAACAGACTATTATGGGTGATTCTGGTGAGGCGCCGAAAGAAAAGAGATTTGTTGAGACAGAGTCTCGGTCTATTGCCCAGGCTGGAGTGCAGTGGCGCAATCTCAGTTCACTGCAACCACTGGTTCCTGGGGTTCAAGTGATTGTCCTGCAGTAGCTGGGATTACAGGCACCCGCCACCACGCCCAGCTAATTTTTGTATTTTTGGTAGAGATGAGGTTTCACCATCTTGGCCAGGCTGGCCTCAAACTCCTGACCCCAGGTGATCTGCCTGCCCTCGGCCTCCCAAAGTGCTGGAATTACAGATGTGAGCCACCGTGCCCAGCCTCACCACTGTATTTTGAAGGCACATAACTTGTTTGATTTCACAGGTTCACAACTGGAGAGAAATTTGTCTCAGGTAGAATTGTGCCTTGAGTCTCACCCATAACTGATTTAGATGTTACTTAGATGAGGTGTTGAACTTCGGACTTTGAGTTGATGCTGGAATGAATTAAGACTTGGGGGTTATTGGGATGAAATGAATTTGTTTTGCATGTCAAAAGGATATGAATCTAGGGGGAACCAGGGGCAGAATGCTATGGTTTGAGTGTTTATATCTCCCCAAAGTTTGTGTTCAAATTGTAATCCCTAGATGATGGTATTAGGAAATGGAGCCTTTTGGGGAGATGATGAGGTGAAAAGGGCAAAGCCCTCATAAATGGGATTAGTGCCCTCATAAAAGAGGCCCCAGAGAACTCCCTTGCCCTTTCCATCATGTGAGGACAAAAGATGCCTGTCTTTGAACCAAGAAGTTGGCCCTCACCAGATACCCAACCTTCTGGTGCTTGGATCTGGATTTCCAGCTTCCAGAACTGTGAAAAACAGATTTCTGTTTTGTATAAGCTGCCCGTCTTATGGTATTTTGTTATCACAGCCTGAATGGACTAAGATACCAGCTTGTCCCTGGACTGAGGCATCCCTGTTCTACTGTGGTTTCAGAACCGAGTTTCTCCATTCAAGGACATGATTTTATGCTTCTCTGAAGAGGATTGGTCCCTTCTAGATCCTGCCCAGACTGGCTTCTATGGAGAGTTCATCATTGGGGAGGATTGCGGGGTCTCAATGCCTCCAAGTAAGACATAACTTCCCCCAATACCTCAAGACCAGGGAACTGGGCAGGTGGGTTCTCACTTTGAGTAAGAGCCAACTTCCTCGCATAAGGTCAGGGAAGCAGGGGTTGCATCAGATCTCTCTGTTCACCCCCAACCTTAATGGGAGGTCATTTGCACAGAGCAACCCTACAGGCAGTTTGTCTGGTTGACCATCACCTGCCATCTCATCTCACCACATCAGGCTTACCAGGCTATTTGTCACACAGAACCAAATAGAACATGTGCTGTGTGTTCATTTCTCTTCCATTGCTCTTATCCTTTTGTCCCTTTATGTCTGCAATGGCAAGCCTCAGAGAGACAACTCAAGCCCATAGCTCCCCCCACCGAGTGTTCCCCCCACTGCCCCTGTGCTGCCCGCTCTGGCCTTTTCACTTCACCCTGATGGTGCCACACCCGTTGGGCATCCCTCCACCTTCTCTCTTCTGGACCAGTCCTGGTTGCTGTAGGAGCAGATTACTAACAAACATGCACCTGCGTTATTCTCTGAACAGATGAGCTAGCTGCCCAGCCAGATCTCTCCCAGGGAGAGGAGAATGAGCCACGCGTTCCAGAGTTGCAGGATCTCCAGGGGAAAGAAGTGCCCCAGGTCTCCTACTTGGGTGAGTAATGATTCCAGAACTAAGGGCACAGAGGAGGGTGAAGCGTTGCTGGCAGCAGAGGCGAGCCCACTCCCTGGCTTCTCTGCAGCCCCGGATTGCCTTCTCGATTTCCCCAGACTCTGTCTGGGTCTTGCATGTCTTGCCTTGTCTTTGACTTTTCATAGAAAGAATGGGGATCTTAACTTTGCCGGGCGTTGGGATTGTACTCCCTCTGCCAAGGACTGGGGAATAATAGGAATGTCTTTCTCCTCTGCCTATAAGTAACATCTGGTTTGTGCTGATAAGACAGTGGCCCCTCCAGGAGTGAGGTCAGAGACTCATGACAAGCCTGGTTGCAGAGGAAGCGTCTCCTCTCAACTGGGCACTGAGCGCAGCCCTTTCAAATGCCTCACCTGTTCAGTCCTTCCATCTGCCTGGTACAGGGGTGTTGTGAGGACACTGAGGTGTGGGGAGGTGCTGGGGGTCAGCAGCATTTTCCAGCCCTCCTTCAGGCTGTGTCACCAACACTTGCACCCATGACCTCCATGCCATGGTGCTTCGAAGCATCTATTCCTTCAGGAGAAAATAGCTTTGCACAGAATCATCAGCAGCCCTACGCCTCCTTCCCTTTGGGACCTGGAGCTGGCATGAAGCGGACAGGGTTTTGATGCATCATCCCCACCTGGAACAAGCGTTCAGAGCCTTGGCATGGCACGGATGGGTAGTCCTGTCCCATGTCTACCCCACAGGCTCTGCACAAGCTGTTTGTGCAGGCTGTGTGGAGTGTGCAGGAGCCTGTTGTGATAACTGTGGAAAACCCACCGCAGAAAGTGGAAATAAATGCGGGCTGGGGGAGGTACCTGTCTCTGGCCACAGAGTAGGTGGAGTAGAACCCAGATCTGCGTAGATTCTGTCTAGCTTCAGAGCTCATGTTCATGGAGTTGGCACATTTTGCCTTCAAGTTCATTCACTCAGCAAACACTGAGTGTCCACCCCCTGCCGGTCCCCAGGAGGGAGCCCAGGGCCACCCTCATAGCCTGCCGTCTATTCAGATAGCACCCTCTTAGTGCTGTAGGTGCCAGACAAATCAATTTTTCTATTTCCTCCTCTGGAAAGACTCTCCAAGTCTCCAGCCATTCCAGGTAGAAGAAAGAAGAAAACGTGATGAGCTGCAGGTGCCAGAGTTCCAGGCCTGCCCGCAGATGGCAGTACCTCAAAGCACCTGCCCAGGTAAAGAAGGGTCAGGGAGGTGTGGGGTGGCCTGTGTGTCTGTGTGTGCACATGTGTGTCTGTGGTGTGTGGCATGTGTATGTGCATGTGTGGCATGGGGGTGGTTGTGTTGAATGCCTGTGTGCGTGCATGCACATATGTGGTATATGCGTATGGTGTGGCGTGTGTGGTGTAAATGTGCAGTGGCGAGGGCATGGAACAGTTAGGAATTGAACTCTTCAGGATCCCCACTGACCGCTGCTGTGGTGTTCTTAGATGCTTGTTCTGATTCTGTTTTGCTGGGGTTGTTCCCCAGCTCACTTTCAATCCCAGGCTCACCCTCCTTGCCTTTCCCAGGGGCTGGGGAGGGTGTGTCAAAGCAGGGTGCTGCTGTAGTTCTGTTGGTGATGTGGTGAGTGTTTTTCTTCTCTCAGCACGGATGGCCAGCATCCTGGCACAGAATCTTGGAATTGGGATTAAAGAGCTGGTTTCTGGTGTGCTGAAGCTTCACGGGACTCCTGGAAAGTGTATGTTCCATTTCTGCTTTCAGAGAAATAGCCACAGTGTAGACTGAGTCGTCTTGGTAAAGGTCACCACCTCCAGAAGCAGAGGCTAAAATGCTGCCGTCTTTCTTTCTTTTTTTTTTTTTTTTTTTTTTTTTTTTTTTTTTTTTTTTTTTTTTTTTTTTTTTTTTTTTTTTTTTTTTTTTTTTTTTTTTATTTTTTGAGACAGTCTTACTCTGTCACCCAAGCTGGAGTGCAGGGGTGATATCTTGGCTTGCTGCAACCTCCGCCTCCCTGGTTTAAGCAATTCTCCTACCTCAGCCTCCCAAGTAGCTTGATTTACAGGCATGTGCTACCATGCCTGGCTAATTTTTTTGTTTCTTTTTAGTAGAGACTAGGGGGGTTTCACTATGCTGGTCAGGCTGGTTTGAACTCCTGACCTCGTGATCCACCCGCCTCAGCCTCCCAAAGTGCTAGGATTACAGGTCTGAGCCACTGCGCCCAGCCTATAAGTTCTTCTAAATACCAAACCCAAGTCTCTAATTCTTACCTGAACCCATGTCTCATTGTAGTTTTCTGCAGCGTTGGAGACTGACTCACACACATTATCTGTTCTACCTGTGATGCTTTTGAAGGCAAGATTTGTGCCATTTCGACCCAGCTCCATGCATCTTGTGCTTGGCCCCCTTTCATGCGTGGACAAAGGGGATTTTCTAGTGTGGGAGATCTGAAAGGATGAGATCCTGCTCCACAAGCATTAATGCCCACTCCTGGTTTTCCAAGAAGCCCACCTCTGCATGCCAAGGGTGATGCATTCACGTGGGGCCCACTTGGAGTTCAGGTGCAAGCTGGATGTTTGTGATGCACTTTGAATCTTCTTCAGCTGCTTTCTGCTCATAACATGTCTCTCAGCCCCATTAACATACTTTTAGAAGGTGGATGGGTGTTCATTTACACATAGGAGTTTTCAACACCATTCTTCTCTTGCTGGACTCTGACACAGACTGCTCTGAAACAGCCAGAAGCAAAGGGCTGCTCCTGAGAAGGGGGAGAGATGATGGATTTCAAAGAGTAGGCACTGTTTTAGCTCCTGCCATCTCGCCTTCCTAAAAGGCTTTTCCCACCAGCTGATGCCCGGATAGCTGGTGACAGACCTGCTTCTCTATATCCATGCTCATGCAGGACACTCCCACATGTTCAGTCTGTGCCAATCAGACAATGCTACTGCATCTGCCACTGAGGTGGAATATCTCTTCTTGTTTATTGTGTTCTCTCTGTGAATTGCCTAGTTAGTATTCATTTATCCTTATTCATTTATTTTCACACTTTTTTTTTTTTATGTTACAAACATTGCACCAGGATTCAGTGATTTACATGATTCCATGCATTGTATCTTCATGGCACCTTCTGAGATGGGTGCCATGATGTCTCTGTATTGAAGGTGGGGCACCCGAGAGCTGAAGTCATTTGCCCAGAGTTCAGTGCTCACAAGCTGTAGGTGGTGGAGTGAAGATTTGAACTGAGGCCGGCACAGTGGCTCATGCCTGTAATCCCAGTACTTAGGGAGGCCGATGTGGGCAGATCACCTGAGGTTAGGAGTTTGAGACCAGCCTGGCCAACATGGCAAAACCCTGTCTCTACCAAAAATACAAAAATTAGCCAGACACAGTGGCACACACCTGTAGTCCCAGCTACTGAGGAGGCTCAGGCAGGAGAATCACTTGAATCCAGGAGATCAAGGCTGCAGAGATCATAACACTGCACTCCAGCCTCAGCGACAGAGTGAGACTGTCTCAAAAAAAAAAAAACAAAAAACAAATGGCTGGGCGTGGTGGTTTACGCCTGTAATGCCAGCACATTGGGAGGCTTAGGCGAGCAGCTTGCCTGAGGTCAGGAGTTCAAGACCAGCCTAGCCAACATGATGAAATCTCAACTCTACTAAAAAATACAAAAGTTAGCCAGGTGTGGTGGTGGGCGCCTATAATCCCAGTTTCTCAGGAGGCGGAGGCAGGGAGAATTGCTTGAACTTAGCAGTCGGAGGTTGCAATGAGCTGAGATCGCAGATTGCATCACTGCACTCCAGGGTGGGTGACGGAGTGAGACTCCTTAAAAGATTTGAACTCAGGCTGTCAGGCTTCAGACCCATGCCTTTTACTCCACATTACTCAACCACAGTTTGCTTTTTCTGTGGATTCTTAGAAACTGAAAATAATGGGTCTGAATCCCTTGCCTCTGCTGTATTTATACATAGTTCTTCCATTTCCCTAAACTTTATGTGTCTTGCAACATGTAAATGTTTTGTTTTTTTAAAGATGGGGTCTCTTTATGTTGCCCAGGCTGGTCTTGAATTCTTGGGCTCAAGCAATCTTCCTGCTTTGGCTTCCCAAGTAGCTGGGGAGACTGTAGGCGTGTGCCATCATACCTGGCATGTTTTCTTACAGTTTTTAAATGTAGATAAACTTATTTGTCATCTTTTTGGTTTTATGTCTTGCTTAAGAAATCTTCTCCATTCTAACTTTACAAGAATATGCAATAGTTTTTAATAATTCCTTTATCGTTTTGGTTTTTCACATCTAGCTTCTTAGCCTTCCCTGCTTTTCCCCTCAACCCCCTCAGCTCACAGGAAGTCCTTCATTCCCGGCCCACAGAGCATCCTTGTTAAGGTGTCAGTCACGGACTTACCTGCATGCTGGATGCCTCTGCCACTCTGTCTGCAACAAACATTTGCAGCAGCCTGGCCGTTTGCTTGCTGTGTGGCCACAAGCCCTGGTCCCCATCTCCATTGGGCTCAATTCTGCTGAAACCTTGGGCAATTTCACTTCTCTGTCTTAAATTTTTGATTTGTAAAACAGAGATAATAGTTATGGCTGCCTTGTAGAGTTATTGTTAAGGATTAAATGGTTTAATGCATAAATTGGCACTTAGACCAATAGCTCTTTTTTTTTTTCCAGGCAGAATCTCTTTGTCACCCAGGCTAGAGTACAGTGATGCCATCTTGGCTCACTGTGACCTCCACTTCCCGGGTTCAAGCAATTCTCCTACCTCAGCCTCCTGAGTAGCTGGGATTACAGGCATGCGCCACCATGCCTGGCTAATTTTTGTGTTTTTAGTAAAGACAGTGTTCCATGTTGGCCAGGCTGGTCTCAAACTCCTGACTTCAGGTGATCCACCCACCTCGACCTCCCACAGTGCTGGGATTATAGGCGTGAGCGACCGCGCCTGGCCTAATAGCTCTTTTCTGTCTTCCCTAACCTTATCCTGATAGCTAATTCGGGGACAACACCCCCCACCTGTGGGTAACACCCCCCCCCTGTGCACCGAGGAAGGAGAACTGTCCAGACCCCAGGCACTAGTGCCTGAAGAATATCTTAGTTTATAGTGTCATTGTTCAGCTGTTTCCTTTATATAATCCTGCATATATAATCATATATTAGTTTATAGAATTAGTGCTTGAAGTGTAACGTACTGCTTACATATATCTAGCATATTTAGTTCTATAGAATCTTTCTATATAATCATATAGGTATTGTAGTCGGAGCTGTACTGACACATTTAGTGCTGATTTATATAATCCTTCTATATAATCTTATAGTAGTTTGTAGTAGGAGGAATGCCTAGACCAGTCACAGAACAGAAGCAATACATGGGAAAACAGCCAGATCAGGATGAAAACCAAAGATCCAGGCGGTGGCGTCCCTGTCTGAAAGGGCATACGCTGTATCGCAAGCTTGGAGCAAGTGCCTCTCCTCCTGATAAAGGAGTTGTAGCACCTTGCATCCAGTTCCTGTGGAAAGTAAGCCTCAGGCCTGAGATCCTGGAAGTAACCAAGGGAGAAGAACCCCTCTGGTGTGACCAGTCAGTCACAGCAGCTGTACACCCTGTCAGTCTTTTCTGCTTCTGGGCTAGCTCAAATCATCCTCCCATAAATATCTTAAGAGCACAAGTCTGTCAGCTCCCACTGCATTAAGCTTACAGTATCTTTCTATTAGAAACCCTTTGAAGTCTCCATCCCCCAGATAAGAAGTGTTGCGCACACCTGTTGCACACAGCCCACCTCCTTGCCTCGGTGACCTAATGGGGGTGGACCCCTTTTCTGTAAATGACCCTCTACTACTGTACATGGCACGGCCCCCTGCTGCACATGGCCCACCTCTCTGCCCAGGTGACATAATGGGGTGGTCCCTTCGCTTATGACTCATGTGATTATATATATGCCCTATCACTAAGCCTATAGATGATGACCTCACTCACGACCCTGCCCCCTGCTTGTACTTAATAAATACAGATGCTCTGGGGCATTGGGGGGCCGCCGCTGATCTCCACTCAGGTGGTGTGACCCCCCAAGTCCAGATGCTCTTCACCAGTTCTTCAGTGTCCTGTCTCTTTACCTCTTGGATCTTGTACCTCAACACAGCATAAGGGATACCCCACCACCCTGTGGGGCCCACAGCCCTACACCCACCCATCACCATCTTATACACACACACACACACACACACACACACACACACACACACACACATCATTTTGTTTTTATTGCTGAACTGAGAACTCTGATGGTGCTTATTCTCTGGTATTTTGGGCAGGCTTCTTGCAGTCTCATCTACTTTCTGTCTTCAAGGAATTTTCTTCATATTGTGTTGATAGTACATAATAAGACTATCCTTGATTTATTTCCCCTTTTGTAGAAATTATGCATGGAATTTTGGTCATTTTAGCTGACTTGAGGTGATGTTGTCTGCTATGTGCTTTATTACTGTTAGGCCTTTCGTAACAAGTACGACAGACTGGGTGGCTCACATAACAGGATTTTATTTTCTCACTATTTTGGAGGCAGCTAATAGAAGATGAAGGTGTCAGCAGAGTTGGTTTCTTCTGAGGCCTCTCTCCTTGGCTTGGAGATGGCCACCGCCTTGCTGTGTACTCATGTGGTCTAAGCTCTATATTTGTCCTGTCTTGATCTTCTCTTATTAGAACACCAGTCACATTGGACTGTGTGGAGCCAACCCTCCCATATGTCCTCATGTTGACTTAATTACTTCTTGAAATAGCCTGTCTTCAAATACAGTCACATTCTGAGGTCCTTAGGGTTAAGACTTCAATGGGAAATTTTGGGAGAACACAATTCATCCTGTAAGACCTCACCCTCGGAACCTTCAAAATTCATGTCCTTCCCACATGCAAAATCCATTCACCTCATCCCAGCAGCCCCCAAATTCTCAATCTATTTCAGCATCAACTGTAAGTCCAAAATATTATCTAAATATCAACATCTCAATTGGGTATGGGTGAGACTCAAAGTATGATTCATCCTGAGGCAAAATCCTTTCTCGCTATGAACCTATGAAACCAGATGTTTTCTGCTTCCAAAATACAACTGTGAGAAAAGCATAGGATAGACCGTTCTCATTCTAGAAGAGAGAAATCCAAGGGTAATAGGTCCCAAGCAAGTCTTAAATCTAGCAGGTCAGGGCTAGGTGTGATGGCTCATACCTGTAGTCCCAGCACTTTGGGAGACTGAGGCAGGTGGATTATCTGAGATGGGTGGATCACTTGAGCCCAGGAGTTTGAAACCAGCCTGGGCAACATAGTACGACCCATCTCTACAAAAAGTTTTTTAAACACACACACAGACACACACACACACACACACACACACACACAAACACAGAGTCTTTGTTATCTGGGCAACATTGTACGACCCCATCTCTACAATAAAATTTTTTAAAACACACACACACACACAACACACACACACACACAGTCTCTGTCATCTGGTGCTTTCCCTCCTATAGTACGTGGGTTCTTGGCAGACTTGGTACCCACTCCCAGACTCACATTCCCCTGACTCCCTTGTGACTGATTTGACAAATGGCCCCACTGCTTCCACTACTGCTCATCATCTCTCTGCTCTCCCTAGTCTCTGTGTCTTCTGCCCTGCGTCTGTTTGTCCAGCTTCTCCTGTCCTGAGCTTCTCTGACCCGCCAGGGCCCTCCTCCCCACAGCCATGAAGCCCAGACCAACCACATTCCTGCTAATATCTAGGAGGTCCTGGCACCACTACCCCTGACCTCTATATTTGTGTTCCACATTTCGTAGAAGTGAGGACACAGGCCACCTGTATGATGGGCTCTGCTCTGTAGGCCAGGACCTTAGGCCGGGCTCTGCGCTGCCCACCCAGCCCCTCCCTATGGTTCTCCCTTCTCAACATCATAGACTAAGGATACATTGAGCCAGCTTCAGTCTAGGTTAGGAAGTCCAGAGCATGTTTACCCATAACCACCTGTGGCCTCAGAAATGCGGTGCTACTGAGAGGGGGAAGCTGGACCCTGGGCAGTCTGGGACTGTTGAGCAGCCTAGCAAGGCTGAGTAGCACTTCAGCCCTCCTTCCTGGGACAGATCATCTTAGTTTATGTGTAGATGCAGCAACCAGTAGGTCATCAGCTTGCGTCCAGGGGCATCTGGGGCTGTGCATGTCAGAAGTTTGGCACAGTCCCTGGAGCATGCAAGTGCCAGCACATGACATCAGCACCTTCCTGGAACTGCATGTGTAGGATGCAGAGTCTTCCTGTCTCCCAGGTCCTCACTATCCTGATAGAGTTGTCCCCCATGCCTCGTTAAGTAAGAGATCTGTAAATGCTCAGGCTTTAAACGGATAGAGACTCCAAGAGCTTGGGGGATGGGGTGGTCTTGGTGGTTAGAGAACAAAAGGGTTGGGTGTGGCAGGTAAGGGAAAATGGCTGGGAAGAGGGCGAGCAGGGAAAAAGGCACCCAGCATGCTCTGGACACAGCGTGGCCCATGCTGAAGATTTCCTCACAGGCTACACCGGTGGCCCCTCCAGGGCTGGCCGGGCCACCCCCATCACCAAGGAACATTGTAAAAATGTGGGTTTGCAAGCTCCAAGCTGAGGCTTCCAGCGCAGGGGCTGGGATGTGGCCTGCACAGCACCACTGACCTGCATGTTGCCTTCCTGTAGCTGGCGGCAACCCGCGATCTCTAGAGAACAGCCTGGACCAAGAAGTGACCATCGAGATCGTTCTCTCTAGCTCTGGGGACGAAGACTCCCAGCACGGCCCGTACTGCACAGAAGAGCAGAGGAGCCGCACAGAAGAGCCGAGGAGCCCCACAGAGAAGCAGCACAGCCTCCCCACCTCCCACCGGAGCAGCGCTGAGGCTGGGGGCGAGGTGCAGAGCTCCAAGAAGTCCTACGTGTGTCCAAACTGTGGGAAAATCTTTCGCTGGAGGGTCAACTTCATCCGGCACCTGAGGAGCCGCAGGGAGCGGGAGAAACCGCACGAGTGCTCGGTGTGCGGGGAGCTGTTCAGTGACAGCGAGGACCTGGACGGGCACCTGGAGAGCCACGAGGCCCAGAAGCCTTACCGGTGTGGTGCCTGCGGGAAGAGCTTCCGCCTCAACTCCCACCTGCTCTCCCACCGGCGGATACACCTGCAGCCGGACAGACTCCAGCCGGTGAAGAAGAGAGAGCAGGAGGCGTCCGAGGACGTGGACGAGGGTCCCAACGACCCGCTGGAAAATGGCAAGGCCAAGCTGAGCTTTCAGTGCTGTGACTGTGGGAAGGCCTTCCAGCGGCACGACCACCTGGCCCGGCACCGCAGCCACTTCCACCTGAAGGACAAAGCCCGACCCTTTCAGTGTCGGTACTGCGTCAAGAGCTTCACGCAGAACTATGACCTCCTGCGCCACGAGCGCCTGCACATGAAGCGCCGTTCCAAGCAGGCTCTGAACTCCTATTGAGCCTGCCCGCCTGGTGCGGCCTCACCCTGGGCGGTGCTGCCCACTCACATTGGTACTGATCAGCACCCCCACCCAGGACGCACCTTCCCCAGCATAGAGAGCACACTTCCCTCTTCCTGTCCTTTGCTCTCAGGTAGTGTCCAGCGTTCAGGTGGTGCCATGGTAGCACTCTCCCTCCCCCAGGTAATGAGAGAGTGGGAAAGTGAGTGTTCTCTTTCTGCTGTGCCAAAAAATGGGGATGTGCCACCACCAGGTTGGACATGCCAGGTGTTCTGTGTCTTAGAGACCCTTGCCCCATGCTCCCTAAGCTCGGGGAGTCAAATTGGACTCCCCCATCGGGGCCGCGCCCTGGTCACCAACCAAACCTCAGTATCCTCCCTCCCTCCCTTCCCTGTCTGAATGCTGGGATCTGCTGCTGAAGCTCCAGGGTGCCTGCACTTCCACTCAGAAGCTGCTGGAGGGTGTTGGACTGGAGGAAGCAAGAAGGCAGTGTGGGAATGATGGGCTTAGTGGGGAGCAGGGCCAGGCATAGAGAGTACACCTCCCTCCTGTCTGAGCCAGACATGTCATGTCTGAGCCCCAGGTTTGTGGCCATCAGGTGGGCAGGAGCACCCCGCAGATCCAAGATGATCAGACAGCCCTTTCGGGCTTGGAGTCTGAGGCAGGGGTCTGCAGAGCTCCTTCTTGAGTTCACAGTCATCATACCTTTTAATTTGTCCCGGGGGCCAGTTACTAGGGATCTGGAGCATACCAAAAACAAAGCTTACGTTTTAATTTGTGTTACACACATACCCCAAGATGTCTTTGTACCCTAAAGATGCTTGGCAAATGCCTGTGGGTTGGAAGCTGAGACATCATCATTTAAAAGGCACTTAAGTCCTTTCTTCCAGTCTGTACTGCCTAAGAATGTGGAGCTCAGCCCCCGGTGAGGGGTTCTGTCTGGGTGAGCCAAGCTCCAGAACAGAACCTTCCCTGGCATCACACTTTACGTATACATCAGCTTGGACTGCTGGTGTCAGTTTTCTAGGTATGTTTTAACACTGGCTGGTTTAGAACAGGAATGGATCCCCTCACAGTTCCGGGAGCTGCAAGTCCAAGATGACGCTGTCCTCGGAGCTGGCGCCTTCCAAGGGCTGTGAGGGAGAGGTGGCTTCGTGCTTTTGCTGGCAGTTGCCGTTCCTTGGCGTGTGGAAGTGTCACAGTCTGCCTTCATCTCCACATGGCACTCTTGCTGTGTGCGACACCAGTCATATCGGATTAGAACCCATCCCACCAACTCCAGTATAACCTCATATATGGCCGCAGCAACTGTTCACCAGTAAGGTCACATTCTGAGGTACTAGAGATTGGGACTTCAACATTGGAATTTGAAAGGGACAGAATTCAGCCCACGACTCCAGGTAAAATGTGAGGTATGCTGTCATTCCTACTTCACAGATGAGTCAATACAATCGAGCGAGCTTGCTCACAGTTCCATCGAAGGCAGGGTTCAGACCCAGGTGTTTGCGTTCAGCACAGGTGTCCTCTGCATGGAAGAATCTTACTCAGTAGCCTTAAAGGCTGACAAATTCCCCTCCCTCCCTGCCTCCTGATTGGGGCCGGGCAGGCCAGCTGGAGCTTTGTCTTCACCTAGGGTTCTGGACTGAGGGTGACAGTAGGTAGTGAAACCTCAAGCAATTTAAAACATGGTATTCTTGAAAAACTGATTATGTTGGCTAGGGTCAGCATGAGAGGGCATCAAGCCTGTAGTGTGGCAGTGATTTAAACTGCAAGTGAGACCAGACGAGTATTTTGTACTCTATATGTCAGATCCTACCAACAGGCAGTAAGCCAGGCAAAGCTCCTGGTGCTCCTTGTCACGTAATTTTCACATCAAGAAGCCTCTGGGCCAGGCACAGAGGCCTGTAATCCCAGCACTTTGGGAAGCCAAGGTGGGTGGATCGCCTAGCTCAGTTTGACACTAGCCTGGGCAACATGGCAAAATCCCATCTCTACCAAAAACACAAAAAATCAGCTGGGTGCGGTGGTACACATATGCAGTCCCAGCTACTGTGGAGGCTGAGGTGGGAGGATTGCTTCAGTCTGGGAGGCAGAGGTTGCAGTAATCCGAGATCACACCACTGCACAACAACCTGGGTGACGGAATGAGACCTGACTCAAAAATAATCAAAAAGCCTCAGCCCCAAACTCATGACAAGATTCTATAACCATAACTACTGTTTCTGTGTAGATGCACAGGAACAGTAAATGCAATAAAACCATTTGGTTATACTTTGGACAAGAAATAAGCTGTTGAGGCTTATAGTTTCTAAATAGTTTGTCTCTTGTATCAACCTATTTGGACAAGGGAGAAATTGGATTTTTTAAGGCCAAGGGAGGGGAAAATTCCAAGTGGAAGCCAGGCTCTGTGGGTTCACATTTACCCCACCTACCTGTGTGATCCTACGTCTCCTGAGGATTCTCTCAGTAGCTCTGAGGCCTTGGGAAGGTTATTCACCTTCCTGCTTCAGACCTCTGACTCATAGAGGAACATTGTTCTACCTACCCGTGTGTTTTATGTGTAAAACCACATCATGAACAAGAAAGTGACGAAGGGAGTATGAGGGAACTAGAAACTACAGGGAGGCTGTCTCCTGAGTTCCTACCACCCATCCAGAGCCAGCCAAGGCACCTCAGGAAAGGGCAGGCCACATTGCCTCTGGATTTGGAAATCCCCTTGGGAAATGTAGCTGAAACCCAGGTTTACCCCGTGCAGCAGGAGCAGCTAGGGGTTACCTGCTCTGAGGAGAGGTCTGACAACCCTCCAGCCCAACCAACACCTTCCACCACAGTGGTGTAGGGGGCTGCACCCAAGTGATCTTTGTCTCCCTTTTGGCCCCTCATACTTTCAGCCTCAGCTGAGAACAGCTGCCCCTCAGTTCTTCCCTCCCACCCCAGGGGCTGGGCAGCTGTCTGGAGCTATGTCTCCACCTTGCTCTGGAGGTTGAGACCCCATCTGAGCAACATCCTCCCTCTTCGTTCCTCTGATCCCTTGGCATTGCCACAAACCCACAGGTGCATAATAAAAACTCACTCGCTGAATCAGTATTCGTGTTAGGCTTTTCATTTAAAAAGTAAAAGGTGGCCGGGCGCGGTGGCTCAAGCCTGTAATCCCAGCACTGTGGGAGGCCGAGGCGGGTGGATCACGAGGTCAAGAGATCGAGACCATCCTGGTCAACATGGTGAAACCCCGTCTCTA